GCGGATCGTGCGGCGCGATCAGCGGCCCGAACAGCGCGACGAACACGAACAGCACCAGCAAAACCCGAGCGATCCGCACAGTCCAGCCGAACTGGCCCCAGAAGCGACCGATAAACGACACCATGTCGGCGATCATGGTGCCGCGAGCCGAAACGCGTTGAGTTTGATCGGTCATCAGCCACGGCTCCGCATACGGGGGTCGACGATGACATAGAGAATGTCGACGGCGAGATTGGCGAGAATGAACAGCGCGGTGATCACCAGAACCACTGTCTGGACCACGGGGAAATCGCGCGCCAGAATCGATTCATAGGCCAGCCGCCCGATGCCGGGCCATGCGAACACGGTCTCGACCACAACGGCGCCGGTGATCATCACGGCGAAGAACGTGCCCATGAAAGTAATGACGGGGATCAGGCTGTTGGCCAGCGCGTGCTTCCAGACGACGACGGTTTCCGAGAGCCCCTTTACCCGCGCAAGCTTGATATATTCACTGCCCAGAGCCTCGAGCATGCTGGCGCGCACCAGCCGCGTGATCGCGGCAAGGGTGAACAGGCCGAGCGTGGCGGCGGGCAGGACATAGTGGACAGGTTCGCCATAGCCCGAGGTGGGCAGCCAGCGCAATTGCACGGCGAACACATACATCAAAACGATCCCCAGCCAGAAACTGGGTATCGATTGCCCGATCAGCGCGATCAGGCGCGCCAGAACGTCGATTGGCGAGTTGTGCGCCACCGCGGCAAACACCCCGAAGATGATGCCGACGACCAGCGTGAACGCGAGGGCGACCCCCGCGAGGCTAAGCGAAGCGGGCAAGCGCGACAGCACAAGTTCAAGCGCCGGATCGGCGCTGGCCGTGAGTGACTGGCCGAAATTGCCGGTCAGCGCATTGCCGATAAACGTGAAATATTGAACGGGAAGCGACTGATCCAGACCCAGTTCGGCGATCAACGCCTGTCGGTCGGCCTCGGTCGCCCCGTCACCGAGCATCAGCGCCACAGGATCGCCCGTCAGCCGGCTGAGCAGGAAGATGACGACACTCATCAAAAGCAGGGCGATGAGGGATTCAACAAAGCGGTTTGCGATTGCCTTGATCATGTTCGGTCCATGCGCAAGCCTGGAAACAGGCTGACACCGACGCCGCCACGAAGGACGGCGCCGGCGCCAAGGGAGAGGCTATCGGGCCTTTGTGGCCTGATCGAAGTTCCAAACATAGGCGGTGGTGATGTCCCACTCGCCAACCTTGTCGCTCACGCCATAGGGCTCGTTGGCCAGAGCGATGAACACCGCAGCCGCCTCATCGCGCAGATACTGCCCGATCTCGGTAAAGAGCTGCTCGCGGGTCTCGGCGTCTTCTTCACCTGAGAACTGCTGGATCATGGCCTCAAGTTCAGGCGAAGTGAAGCTCGCAAACAGGCTGTCTTGCATGAAACCTGCCTCGAGCCCGTTGGCGGCGCTGGCAAACGGAAAACCGCGGTGGGTCCACACATAGTCATTGGCCTGCCCCTCGGTCCATTCGGTGCGAAGCGACGGCCAGTCAACCGGCTCTATGGTCGCGTTGACGCCCACATCCTGCCAATAAAGCGCCACTGCCTCGGCCATCAGGGGCAATTCCGCTCCCGGCGCCGTTGTGAAGGTCCGAAGCGTGATGTCGAACCCGTCGGGATAGCCCGCCTCGGCCAGCAATTGCCGCGCCATATCCGGATCGTAGGGGT